CAACTCATCGCTTCCCATCTGGGTTCCACTCGAGTGCGTAGTTCGTGATGTCCCCGAATGGCCTTCTCAGTGCATGGCCAATTCATCTCCACTTCGTTCTGCATGTTTGTTGAGCGACAGCTTCTTGGTTGGTTCGTTGCTAACCAGCCAGAGTTCCTTGTTGCTTATTCTTATTATTCTGGCCATCTGATCTTCAGTATCGAGCCAGTGTAGGCAGTTGTTGATGAATATCTGTAGTTTGTTGGAAGTGATTTTCGTAACGGGCCAACTCTGAACCACATAGAAGCATTGACTTGACACTAGTGATGAGCAGAAAAAAGACGGTACCTGCTTAATAATCTTCAGTAATATTAGTAAGAATAAAGGAGGACTATTATGTTGTAGATGAGTCATAACGGTCAGTAATCGTTCAAGTGAGGAAGGTGATTAACTTTCCGAAGCCCAATAAGTTAACATATCTGAAAACGACGGCTTCCATGAGGTAACTAAGAGGTTTAGTAGTACTCATGTAGTCACTGAACAATAGGCGGTCAACTTGCTCCATCGACATTGGGTTTGGAAACTTTAAAATAGTCTTAGCTGAAGGAGGAATAACATGAAATCAAATACTCATGGGAAAGTCACCGTGATTCATATCACGGCTTCCACTGGCAAGTAGTTATCGGCTGTGAATCCCAAACAGATCGAAAGAGCATCATAATTCAGCATTTATCAACAAGTCGATTAAAGATGGTTAATCGATAAAGGATATGGTTTAAGAAGTTATCTCAGAGAAACAAAACTCCTTGATTAGCTTTCAAAATAAAATACTGAAACATTGTAAAACAGTTCAACTGACACGCAGCCACAATCAAGTTATCTACCATCTAAATAAGACATGCACACTGGTTTCGTAAACCTTGACGACATTTACAAGGCTGCATCAAACCTGAAATATAGTAAGTTATCTGTTATAACTTAGCTGTCACATTGATTTCTTGTACTAACTACTTGATATAACCTAAGTTATATAAATACGAAGACGCTTGAACAGTAACCTTCACATTCCCCTCCTGATGGTGGCATGGTTTCTCCGTAAATGGAAAAGGCAGTAAGATAACGGTGTATTGCAACGTCTAAAATATATACAAAATACAAGGATTTATGTGTATCCTTGAAGGTTTTGGGTGTTTTCAGGCCTTTCTAGATTTGAATGTCCTATTGATTTTCGTTCCTTCAACCAATCTGATACTTACACGTTGGTTTGTGTTTTCTCTAGAAGCTTCGGTACAACATGATTGATTGTAGAAAGCTTAAGGAGTTTAGGGTTTTTTATGAAGACTACGGAGGACCTATTCCACACTAGAACATTATCGATACCTAGTCGTTCTCCTTTAGAATTCCTCAAGGATAACGATCAGGGACCATCATCAGACCAACTGAAATGTTACATGAGGTATGAAAGTCACTACTCTTGTCACAATAATCTCAGGTGTTGATCACTTTATTACTATTAACTGATATATTTGTAATTCTCCGTTGTTTCATTGGAGCAAATTGTTCGACCTCTATTGCTTAAACTCAACTGTGTGAGGACTTAAGTAGAATTGTTTGACGTAATAATAATAATAATCAATACTGTTTTCATCATCACCATTCTTATTGAAATGCTTTAGATGAAGGTGATTCAAATTAGCCTTCTCAAGAAGTAAGTTGCTATCAGAATAACCTCCAAGCAAGCTTCCATGTTGATAATGAACCTCAATGCTTATCTGTTTTTCTGCACATTATGTAAGCTTCTCCGTTGGTGACATATGTGCTTAGCTGTCACTCATCCGCTCAAAATGTCATCCACTAGTGAACAACACTGAATCTCTATGTGCTATATCAAATAAACTAATCTAATATTTATCCGGTGAACTCACATTCTTCTGATGACGTTTCTTATTTCTAAGGGAAGTAATATACAGTTTCTTAAGATATAAAGGCGATACACTATAAAGTCTTCAAGTACGAAAATAAGAAATGACCGTGATAGGCAGTGAAGTAATCAAGTAGGTTGTGTTCAATCTCTACTCAAAATCCTCAAGGAGGTGTTGGGATACAAATGTGAGCTGAGGTTTCTTGTCTGGCTTTCATCTAAAAAAATTAGTCTAAATTGGAAACTAAATTGATTTTTTAGTTTAGATTTTAAGATACCTCTGCTCCAGTACTACGCAAAAAGGACGTTGGGAACTAACAACCAATGGTACTGTTAAATTATACTCTAAAGTAGACTAATTTAACAGCACTGAGAGATAAAGCAAGCGGGTGACCACTTTGGAACGAAAATAAAGTATTGATATAAGCTGCAGATTCAGATACGCTCTTGAAAATTAGTATCAGTGCTGAAAAAATGGCAATTACTGATAATTTTTACTTTCAGAATTATGGGAAAAGAAAGATAACTGAAAAGGGTTAGTGAAGTTAGTTTAATCGGACGAAAAATACATTTCAGTGTCTAATATGTGTATTGAGAAGAGGGAATAGCCAGAACTAAAAAGAGGAAGATTTGTTAATGACATTATACAGGCGTCGAAGCGTAAGTATCTGAATCCAACTTGCGTACCAGATTCCCGAAATGTTTTCACAATCCGTATTTACCCGGATATTATTGACCTACTTGTGTCGAACAGCGTGAAAGAAAGAGAGATGTGAAGTAACCAGATGTTTTACTGGTTGGATTACAAAGTTTGAAGCAGGCAGATAACTACAAGGTCAATATCCCAAAGCAAATAAAAAAGAATATTTGTAATTGTGTCATGACAGTTATTGTAAAGTAGTTTTCATCTGAAAAATACATCAGAAATGATAAAAGGTTTTGAAATCAACCGATTCCCACATGCCACCACCAATAGAAATCATCATCGTGAGGTCAATCAAATATTAGACAAATGAATGATCGATAAGATTTAGGAAAAAAACATGACCGGCACATAATACCGGAGAACTCAAACGAAAGTTGACCTCCAGATACTATCCACATTTCACTAGACCATTCGATAAGTAACTCACAAGTTTGTACACTTGCATTATCTGGAAAGTTAGGGGCATACTTCTTTAATCAAATTAATATAGATGTACTTTCCAGTAGAAATCGGACTGAAGAACTTATGTAGACAGAAGTAACAAGTTTCCAAAAATGTGTTTGTGATACAAATCAATAATCTGCTGTGACTTCTTTATTTATTTGTACTCACTACAATCGTTATAACATCTACAATAATGTTTTTCAATATAATCCGACCAATAATTAGGTCGTGAACATAAACAATATTTCAGCACTCATAACTGCTGATTCAAAACCCAGTAAAACTGATCGATAAAGACAATATAAACATTTTGCTTGACAATAGATTCTTACGCACATATCGAAACTAACGCGCATATATGTATATATATCCCTTACAGCAAACAATGGGTAGAAACGTCCAAATCCCCTCTAGCTGACCTAGGTCATAACAATCAATCGGCTAAAGCCTAGTTATCGTCTTATAAATTACCCTTATTTCATTTGACTGAACTCGCAACCAATACCAGAATATCTTTTGGTTATTGCCCTCAAAAAACCATACTTAGTAAGTTCCTAATGATTTAAAATTCATATACTTCCTGAATTTAAGTCTTTTCTAAAATCGATAGAATGAGATGGGCAACTGCAATGTTATCGACTTATTTTTTGATAAAAACCAAGTTTGAACTTTTCTTCCTCTCCTCGTCATATCCAAACTTCCTGACTCTTGCATACGATATTCCTGTTTCAAAACATTGACTGTAGAGCTCATTACTACTTCATGTTTTTATATTCATCAAGACCAATCTATCTACGTTCACATAACATTATTTCTATTCAAATTTAGTGGCCAAAACAACTTGTCACTAATCAGTACTGACTTGTTGATATCTTTAATGACATTTTCTGAATATTTTTTACGCTTACAGCTTACGATCACAATTTACGAAAAGACTCAACGTACACGACCATCTTTTATATTGTTTACTTTGTTATTTTTACATGCAGAAAAACTTCTTTTACATACAATGTTAAAACATTGCTTGAGATGCTTGATGCCATAAAAGATTGTTTGCACTCAAAGCAAAGCCTACAGTGTCTCTACATTAAAGCCAACATTATCAGTTACAAGGTCTAGAACTTTAAGATAGTGACTGACTAATAAAAACCTCACCACATAATCAATTGTCAACAGAACTTGATGTAATCCAGGTGAAGACAAGTAGTAAACGAGTGAACTCTTAGATACCCCGCCAGTATGTCAACGATGTTCATTATTTCATAATGCGGAGTAGATTCATTATATAGTGACGCAGAACAAACCTCAAGCCTTGCTTTCCAGATAAGAAATGAAAATACAACTCATCAACAAAAAACAAAATTCGCGAACTACACTACTCACGATATTTATCGTATGAAAAACTAGTAATACAACCTGGTTACCTAACAGGTGGTACAGTAGAGTTTTATACCATGATTCTCTTACTGAAAGTCATGTTATAACTAGTAAAGCTATTTCGTCACTGCATCAGAGAAAATAATAATAACAATATCTAATAACATTTATTACGAAGCCGCAGAAATTATTTGTGAATCCCAACATTTCTACGCAAAGTTATGGGATTGTAAAATATAACACTCACGTAATCTGGGGCTGGATTAAGTGGGAAAAAAATGAAGTTGACTTCAAAAACATTAACTAGTAGAATCACAGCTCAAAGAAATGAAATAACTGGGACAAATATTGGCTCCAAAACAAAGATACAAACTTATTAATGATCCAATTATCGATATAAAAGAGAATTCTTGTCACTATTAAATTTTATTGGAGAAAAAAAACTAAGTTTCCTCCAACAATCACTATTCCTTACAAAATAAAGTATGACAAAAGCTCCAAGTGTATACCAAGAATAAGATTACAACAGCTATGTACAAATACCAAGAAGAAGTAGGATGGAAAAGTGAAGTGATTCAAAGAAATATAAGACAGTTTGTCTCAATTAAGATCATGAGTTGATCACAGCAGACACTTGTTCTTTGTTACCTGATCCAACTGGTCTCGGTTTTCCATAAGTAAATGGAACGTAGCGGTACTTAATCATATGCTACCAAGAAAAAACAGAAAAAAGAACATTAAATAAACCACAGACAGGAGCAATGATAAGATGTACTGACAAGGCGAAGAATATAATTAACAGTTAGTATATTGACAGAAACGTACGGTACATAGACTACAAACAAATATGCGTAACAGTAATGACTTAACAGACGTTAATACTGTAAAGCGAATGAATATTATACTTAAGATCGAAAAAAATCATTGCTAAGTACACCTGCTAAAGAAAGAACTCAAAGCAACTTAAGATCTAGTTAAATAGACACCAAGGAGGAAACACAAAAATCACTTCATAATAACGCACTGTTTAGAAAACTTGGTGTAACAGACTGGAACAGTAAAAGTGATGCTATATTTTATTTTGTGAGACAGTATGCCGAATTGGTCACCACATAATAAAGTAACGGATACAACAGTTTTACTATTTGTTGACTATCGATCGACAGATGCAATATAATCAACAAGCTGGGCGATATGCCTAATTCAGCCAACACTAAGGTAATTATCATCACATCAGTCGAATTGATATGTAGAACACCTGTTTTGCCTTATGAAATAAAAAATTATGTGCTACAAATGTGAAAGAAAAGCCATCAAAACTCTTCTGAAGTCTTAATGATCTTCACCTTAATCGTCAAATCGAACTTTTTAGTTGTTTTACCTAGTCTTTTTCTCTTTCTATGAATTTTTGCCATTTCAGATTACTTCTTTACTTATTTAGCTATTTTAAATCTTGGTGCCTCCTACCTTCACATGTGCTGATGCGAAACGTGACAACCTGGACTGTGAAGCAATAGCGCCACATTCCACACTGATATTGACTAATCTAACTAACCAACAATTATATCGATGTAATATGAATGACACGTAATGAAACAGCATAAGAAATAATTAACAACTTACCTTTATTTGCCTTTTCATCATAATTGCGAACAACATTATAAAATACATAACAAGTATTGGCCAAAATACTGGGATATCCAAGAAGGGAAGATATGTGCAGAATATACTGATGGTGATAGCACGAACAGTAGACAACCTGATATTGAAAATAGGGTAATTAGTTGCAAACAGAAAAGATTATTACAATCAGGTAACAAATCTTTGTTAAAGTGGATTTTATGTATTCTTATCATCTGAATTGGCTTTGAGTAAGTGAAAATTTGGGGCATCAAACTCAATCCCATCCTAGATTAGCATACTTGATATCATACAGTGGTTAATTATTGTTCACTAGACGACGTTTTAAACACAGTTTGTTTTTTAAAGCACATACCATCTTGGTATGATTCTGAGAAGTAATCTGTGCTCAAAACGTCAGTTATATCAGTTATATCAAACAAGCTAATCTGGTATGAAATTACACTACCATACTGCCCAAGTTTTATAATGACAATGAGGTCAAGGTTAGTGGATATGAAGTCTGAGTCCACAGTACTGTTTAAGCCAATAAATAGGGAACTACATTCACTTGGTATGTTCCGTATAGTTTCCGCACCCTCTTAGTGTCCTAACCCCACGCCAGATTAGACAACAAACCTTACTAGCCGGAAATAAGAAATCTCGCTTAACGCGTGTCAGATGTACACAGAACTCAAAAGTGGTTAGGTACTCTACCCTAAGTGCCCAATATATTGAACCTGAGGAATTCACCTTACGACCGTTTTAAGATTCCGTGAGAAGTCCCTTCGGACTTGCTGGTGTACCGACAGCATGAAGTTCCAAAGCGAAGACTACACTTTCCGTATGAATGCCAGTTAATGACAACATATGAACTATCAAGTTGCGCAAACCTACAGAAACCAGAAGAAATTGTGATAATCAGCGAACCCAATTTGTAGTCTGGACCTATGCACCCACTGGATGCAGTTTGCAATGTTGAAAAAATGATTCATCAAGAGCTGACAACCTCTATGCGAAAGATGAAGTCGAGATATAATCCCACTAGTGGATATTTCCAACGAGGCTGAGTGCACCAGAAAGGCAACTTCGGGTATCTACCAAATCCCATAGCGAAAAATCGATAAGTGATAACCATCACCATAGTAGTTCACTAGTCCTAAGCCCGGATATAGAGAGAAGACTGGGCATAGGGTTAGCAACCCCAACCCAGGAAACCAATACAATCGCTAAAGAAACTTCAAAGCACAAAGAAGATATAAAAAATAAACTTATTCCTCGCTGGAATCGGGGAGACGAAATGACGCCGGTTGGTGAAAGCCTTCGGGAAGCCAACTGCCTGATGTGTCTTCTCTTCTGATGAAAACAAAAGTAAGCATAGGGACATGGAACGTTCGCACCATGTTTAAACCTAGCAAGGCTGCCCGTATTGTAAAAGAGGTGAGAAGGTATAGCACAAAACTGCTTGAAATCTGCAGATGGAATGGAAGTGGACTCTCCAAACTGTCAACTGGAGAGAAGTCAATAATCTACTCGCGTCACCCAGACGTCAACCACGAACACGCTGAGTTCTCGAGTGGCTATCAAGATGTCCCCAACAGCATCAAAGGCTCTCCGGCAATGGGAACCAATCTCCTCCTGCAGGATCATGACAGCAAAACGAAGGAAAGTCACAATCATACAATGCTGCGCTATGTACCTACAAAAAATGCGGATCAAGAGAAGAACGAGGAATTCTACAAACAACTGCAATCAGTAACGGACAAGACTCCAGTTGGCGACATTAAATTCTAATGGGAGACGCGAATGCCAAACTGGGAGTAAACAACACAGAAAGCGAACCAATTGTGTGTCGAGAAGCACTTGATGAAATGAACGAGAATGGAGATCTGTTTGTAGATATCTGCGCATTTAATGATTTGGTGATTGGAGGCAGTGTGTACAAACACAAGTATATTCACAAAGCGACATGTATTCGATTTCACCAGATGGACACACCAGACTAAAAATCAGATCAACTTCATCTCTATGTGAAGAGAGTGGATACGCAGCTAAACCGACACAAGATCAAGAAAAAAGATATGGATTCAGACAATTATCTAGTGCAAGGAACATTCAAAATCAGGTTGAAAGCCTTCAGAGAAGTTGGTGATAGACCACAGTTGAAGTTCAACACCTAGAACAGAAACCGGAGGATGGAACTACAAACATCTTCACGTCAGCCATCAGGCAAAAATGGGAAACATTGAGCAATATCTGTGAAGAAACCTGCGTGGATGAACACTGGAACTCTTTGAAAAAGATGTGAAAGGAAACCTAATCATCATCATAAATATCAACACAAGACCAGGCATCACCGCTTAACGGTCCGAGTTGCCACAGCTCATATCAGTACATCAAGTAGAAAGGTAGTGAAGTGGAAGATGAAGATTAGAAAATTCAGTCAAAAGAAGTATATAGTACGAAAGAGAAAAAAGAAGAATGACAAAATGGTGAGATTTGGTATGGCGTCCTTAAGATGAGGATAATGTGTGCATACATCTGCGCTACTGACATCGGTTCTGAGCCATATCATCACCTAGAGTCTCCAGCCACTGGTTCCTCTTGTCCCACGGACCCCAACAGACTAGTCTGCATCGCCCCCACATGGCTCAAACCAACAGTCAGAGACTTCATGCACTGGTGCCATGTTTTAGTCTGGCCACCTCGGGCCTTTTTCCAGCATAAATCTACTTCGGTCAACATTGTGTGACGAGGCAGTCGGCGACTAGGCGTACGATATACGCTTCAGGACGGAAGAAGAAACAAGACAAGGAATGGATCTCAACGGACACATGGAGGCTGATAGACGACAGGAAGATGGTGAAGCAGAAGATAAACCAGTGCAAGGATGAACAACGAAAAGGTGAACTGAATACAACTTATAAAACACTACATTGTGCAAAGAAGTGAAGAGTGCGTGCAAAGACAAGAGACACTTCTACAACACATTAGCAAGTGAAGCAGAACAGGCTGCAGGTAGGAGAGACCTGACAACATCATAGCAAATAACCAGGTTGCTATCTGGGAGGGAAGAGATCAACGCAGATGAAACCAATGAGAGATAGTAAAGCAAACGTAGTTACCAAAGAGGAGAAACAAAGAAAATGATGGGTTGACCGTTTCAAAAACTCTCGAATCGACAACCACCACCACCTGCAACTTGTCCAGAAATACCACCAGCATCCCAGCCACAGAATCACCAGTGAACACAAGCCCTCCGACAAAAGCTGAAGTCCTGAAAGCCACAAAGTTGCTGAAAGCTGGGAAAGCAGCAAGACCAGTTGTAAGTTCGCCAGAAGTACTGAAAACAGACGCACAGACAACAGCAGACATGCTCACACCACTGCTGCAGAAGGTTTGGAAGTAAAGAAGGAAAGGTACCTGCCCATTGATCGGAAAAACGGTTACCTTGTCAAACTCCCAAAGAAGGGCGACCTAAGTGTTTGCAAGAACTGGTGAGGAGTCATGCTTCTGTCCACACCAAGCAAAATATTGAGCCGCACCATCCTGCAGAGACTAAAAGGTGAGCTGGATTCAAAATTATGACAGGAACAGGTTGCCTGGCTGGCTTCGAGAAGTACAAATCATGTACGGATCAAATTGCAACGCTACACTATGCATCATTATAGAACATAGCAAAGAATGGCAGTCCACTGTACCTCTACCTCAACTTCATCGACTTTGAAAAGGCCTTCAATAGCATCGACCGACAAGTAATTTGGCAGGCAGCTGCTTCAACACTACGATTTCAGTGACACAAACCTTTATCAACCTCATTCAACAGCTATATGCTAAATGATGCTGCATGCCAAGTGATTCACAATGAAAAGCAGTTCAGTGATGCCTCTGAAGTGAAGACATGAGTAAGACAAGGTTGCCACCTACTATCACCAGTGATCTTCCTGATTGTTGTCGACTGGACTGGACTGAATCATACAAGAAACTGTGAGGAGCGAGAAGAGGGGTGTATGCCGTTTGAAGGGTGAAAAGACTCTAGAAGATTTGGATTTTGCTGATGATGATTTATGTCTAATGTCTGACAAACTCGAAGATCTACAGGTGAAAACCAACAAGTTGACAGGAGAGACAGGACTTCAGGTGAACGTAGAGAAGACAGAGGTGATGAAGGTACCCAACCAACATCAACAACAAGCACCAATCACCATTAACGGGGGAAATCTAAAGAACGTCACGCGCCAGGCCAGGCCGTCGAGTAGAACCCAAAGGGGAAACGACGAGTTGGGCGTCCCAGCTGAAGGCAACATGGAGGAGATCATGTGAGGAAGAAATGAAAACTTATGAGCAGTGATGGAGGCAGGTCCAAAAGACTGCAGAGAAGGGAGTGAAATGGCAACGTGCTACTGAAGCCCTATGTTCCACTAGGAACCCAAGGGACAGATAAAAGATAAAAAAATACTAGCGATGCTTTTGAAGCAGCTGCTTGGACAGTGACTCCATTTTGAGCACCCAATAGATAAAGGGGGGCCTATAACTAGTAGGTTGTTTCAAGTCCAATTCAATAGTAAGGCTAAAGGTACCCTTAACAAGGTGGTTAAATAGTTATAGTGCGACAAAATTACTCATTCTGAAGTCAGTCTACCGTAGATACTGATAAATACACTAACTCTCTAGAAAAAGTAAGAAACTGTCAGTGGAGCCTAGGAACTTCAGTGAAATTAATGGATGCACCTAAACTGATTCCTGGACGCTCCAAACAATATGACGAGCACGATATGCTTCAACATAGATCCGCACATCAGTTTACACATTGGACACGAAGAACAATGGTTATTAGCTAGTAACATTGTCTTGACGAACTGATGTGAAGTGAAACGATTTGAACTGCTACACAGCGATGACGTTTCATGTTGATCAGATCTTTGGAAAAAATACCACCAACCGGGACTTGTTGTATTACTAGGCCTAAAGATAGCATTTGACTTCACCAACCAGTTTCATGGCAATGCCTGACTGTAAAAGCAGTACTGTATAAACATATTGTGATATTCAATCCTTCCTACTGTAACACAAACAGTCGTCATGTAAGATAACCACAACCAGTGGGGCCTGTCAGGTAGTTTTGACCATTACCATTTTTATACAAATGAGAGGCGAATATCGTGATAGTGTAGGAAAGTGTTCCAGCTTCGCAACTGTGTGGAGTTATGAGGAAAATAAGAATTCGTTAACTGAATATAATAAACAACATTAAATAAAGATAATGCTTACATCGTAAACTAATGAGTTGAAAGCCATGGAAGGTTAGTGTCGAAGTAGCTATCCATGATATGAATCAGATAGGGAAACTGATGTGATTGTGGTCGTGGAAGGTCCTGTATGGAACGAAAAATTCTACTAATATGATGTTACACTACCCATAAGTGAAAATCTGACCAAGCTTTTTGCTAAGCACATTAAGTACCTGAGTTAAGTAATGTCAGAAGTGTCTACTCTATTAATCCCAAGCGAACTTCTTCTGAGACATATATGGGAGTTACTCTCTTCTGATTATACAGCCGCTGGTTTCATCCATAATTCCTGGAACAACTTAGAACAAGTCAGCCTAATATTAAACCTCATGCCTCCCAGCTGGACTGTAACATTTTCTACTACAAGGATAACTACTCTGAAGCCAGAACCTGAGATTGAACAGAGCGTGGGGCAAACTTTATAAAAGTACATCTTACCAAAATTTTGACTCCAGTAACCTTGGTATGAAGGGTCTGAACTCTTCACCCTCTGTTCGTGGGAGCGTCGGACTCTCATCTGCAATCAAATTGGTGTCACTGATTAAAAAGTACCTACCCAACAGTTCAGCAAAGGCAGGATCTACTTTCGGAGAAATGAATGAAATAAATAGACTCAATAAGTAGATTGCTAAAGTATAGCTAACAATATGAAAACCCTAAACGCAGATGCTAAGTAAAATTTGGCTTGCCTTACCTGGATAGACGCTATGCGAAGTACGTATGCCATGAACAGAAAAAAGGCTATTAACCACCTGGTAAATTTATACGGGTACAGCTTATCAATTATCGTTTGGTGTACTAGACTGGTATCAGTTGTAACTGAAGCTTCAACTAACCACAGTAATGGGATGGAAAACTCTAGAAAGTAGCGTATTTGAAGACTCATCATTCGTCTGTTCTAACTTCATAGTATATTTAGAAAACCGTTCTGTATACTAGGAACGATCATTCAACAGTCCCCTCGGTACTCGGTTTGAGAAAACCCGCGTCAGTTCCAGCTCACTGTAAGTCGAATCAGCCTCTTCTTCAGTTTTCAATTTCGTCTGTTGTTACAACAATGGCTTTCAGCAACGAAGGTAGTGAGCTAAAAGTTTCGTTCCATTCCTTCTGTCAAATATCTATCAGACGATTTACTTTCTTTCAGAAGGTACTTATTCAGTAACAAGTTCTTTTCGCTCAACGTTAAGTCAAGATTCTACCCAAAGTCGGTTTGACTGAAGCCTGGGGACTGCTGAAGTGAACTCTTTGGAGTTCTATACATGAAGAATGGTGTCATAGAAGCCAGAAAACAAGTTTTAACTCGATAGTTAGAATCTAAATATAAGATCATCTCCTGCGGTTAAACACTTGTTGGACCTATTGTACTCTTCATGAGTGATATGTGGAAAAATTCATGGCAAACTTCCTCCCCGTAAACATCTAGGACCTCACTGTGCTTTGCCGATGCGGAATCCTGTAGCAAACCACCAGTGTCCCCTCAATGATTCACTTAACATTTCAATTAATTTAATTAATTTAATTCACTGAAGTAGAGAACTAGGTGCTTCTTGAGTCTTGCATCGGTGCCTTAAGGACCGGTTTGGAATGCATCTGTCCCCCCATAAAACCTAAGGCGGTTAGGATGGTGTTGTTTCGCCGTTATATTGTTTCTGAGCCGACAAGTAAACTTCTATAACTGCACTATTATTACCACTAATTAGTTTATCAACTAGAACATTTTGAATAATCTTGCGAACTGGTTTCCAAGAATTCCGCAATAAAAAAGATGTTTCAAGAAGAGCGATATCATTCTCGAGCTGTCCAATCGCATATAAATATTCCATTCCCACAAAATACAGAAGGTGGAGCATTTTTACTTTCGGAAATCTTTAATTCAGATCTCGTGCATTACGTCCCTCCATTCCTATAATTCTGATTTCTCTATCCATTTACGTAATTCAGCTTAGTAATCAAGTGTTTCTCCGATCTTGATAAGTTCTCTTCTCGTTACTATTTCAAACATTAAGTAATTACTTTTCCGATTCTCCTGATTCATAGTTAGATCTGAACAACGTTCAAAATGTTTCATGTACAACTTGTACAGCTTGAGAATGGAGTCCCTGAAAAGAGTAACTCTTCACTTAAAGCCCTCTGTTTTGCGGCACAGTGGAGGTTTTGAAACTGCTGGAAACCCATAACAGACTTGATAAGTGCGACGTATGTTGACCCTTTGGTTGTCCTAACGAAGAACAAATCGAGTGGTCCTTACAAGCATTCTGTGCCAACCGATAAGAGTAGGTTGCTGGAATGCTAGATCACTTGGTGTATTTGATAATCGTACCACAACAGGAAAGCGTCCCACTCCTAAAAGAGACGGCTTCCAGGAGCAACCTTTTTTTCGTCCAACCAAAAAAAGGGGATAACTATTCATCAATAATTATCATTGTTAGCCTTGCCGCAAGATTAGCCGCCAAAAATCTCACCCGATCTACTTTCTGTCGGTCTTTTTGATCCCACGTTGTAGATTGGTGGTATTAGGTAAATTCGCTGGTATGCACTTCGAATAGATCCACGCTTCCTAAGGGCCGCAGCGAATCTTCGAAATTCTCGATTGTGGGAATATTGCTCACTAAATTGGGTCATGTGCGAAGTGCCGGAATTGGATTTTGTTGAGCCGGAAGAGATATGTGATGTTGAGAATCATGAAAGTGAAAGGATTAAGGGGATTCTACCAATCACCTACCGGCGCGAAACACAAGAAGAATAATCCTGCAGCTCTGCAAGCAGAGTGCGGTTCGTGCATTCAACCTTTTGTGCGGAATTACTTAAGCCCCAAAGGACATGCTACTGTATTAGCGACCCACAAGTGAGGGACTGAACTTTTGGTGGAAACGTAGATCAGATTTGTTCGATTCGTAAGACAATTTCACCAGTTTAGTTTTCAATTATACCCACACTACAACCACCAATCCCAGATGTTTTGTTCGCGCCTTTTTTCCCATCCTTATTCTGTGTTGCTGATGGCATCTGGACTTTTCATGTATAAAAGAGAACCATCTCAATGTTTCCACCTCATCTATTGGTCACTTGGGGACAATTAGCAGATCACATCAAGCTTGAATTGGTGCTTTGTGGCTGAAGTTTGTATACGATAGTTGAGACCAAGTGAATATGGCAGTAACATTCCATGTTGCTGACCAAATTTACATCCTCTCATTGCGCTGTAATTCATTAACCACAGGGTTAATGCAAAAAGAACTAGACCACAGAAATTTGGAAGTTCGCATGTAGGTTTTAAATGGTTTCTTCCATTTGATGAATTAAATTTGACGGAAACAAATAATGATGGGGATTTTATCTGTACACAAGTAGGGAAGGTAAGTAGTAGTGCAGGAGCAGCGGCACCAGTATTTCATTGTATTTAAATTCCCCTAGTCGAAGTGGACATTGGAAAATTAAGTTTATTTGTTTGTTTGCATTGTGTTCAAAATATACAGATCCGGTTGTGACTTTCGAATCAAGGTGCGTCGTGACTACGTTCTTCACTACCTTTGTATGCGCCTTCTACCGTTCAGTTTACCCGACACTATCGGATCGGCACTGAGGCTCCAGGAAAACGTGAAGGTATTCGGATTGGCATATTCACACTTAGAGTCGGGTGCACCTATGCTACAATACTGCGTTCCGACATGGCTTGTCAATTCTCCTCACTGTTTTGTCTCGTATTTTGGAATGTGACAAAATGGCGTTGGTATCTCAATATACATTTGGTCTGCATACCAGGTTTCAGCTGAAGCGGACTTTTCGTGACTACCGTGTGTGTGAGACCAGTTTAATTAACTAAATGTTTTAGTCTCGTGTTAAAAAAAGGGTTTTAACATGAGAGAAGCCAGTTTACAGGCTTCATCACGTTGATGCATCGCAAAATGTCTACAAGATTTGAGCCCTGAGTGGTACTGATGGAATGCCATTAAACTCAATTTAGAAAAAATTTAAAAAAATCTGCCGAGGGTCCTGCTAGTTATGAAATGAACGAGGAAATATTACTTTACAGCGTACATAGGGCATTGAAGTTTAGATAATAGTAAATGTCGCCTTCATTTAACAGGCTTAACATAAGGGATACCAGTTTACAAGCACCGTCAAACTCATAACCTTTGAAAGTATCTAGTATTGAATAATTTACACATCAAGTCATTAGTATGCATAATCTTATTTAAATTTGCTGAAATTCATGAGACGATATGGATTGCCATCTCCCGTCACATAGATAGGTTCCATTATCAATATCAAAAGCGCGCACTGTTCAAAGTTTGCGTTGTAACCAACCGAAGTTGTTAGTCCATTCGCGTAGTTTGCTGATTAGTAATATAATAGTTTATTACTTAGAATGATCTCCAGTCTTTAGTTTGCTAACCACAAGGGACCCATTTATACAATCTGGAGTAACAATAAAGTATCCACAGTCATATAACCAACGTGTATGGCTATATCAGTGCATATCCAGGTCACCATGTTACTTTTAAAGGTGATATAGGTTAATTCTGCTGGGAATACTCGTTGTATTGGATGAAAATAGGTGTTGAAACAGTTAATGGTCCATAGATTTCGGGCATCTTTTGTATCAGCATAGGCGGCATCACTCGAGAAGTGTATTTGATGGGTAGTAAGTTCCATATAAAAAGGTCTCTTGGTACAGAGTACTAGAAAATGTCTAGTGTGAAGCCATTGCAGGTAAGTGATCGTAAGTAATCGTATCTCTATCCTTTCAGGTTTTTCGGAACCGGGAAGATAATTGTGACCATTCCAAACTCAGAACGTATTCCAATAAGACAGACGTAGAACCCAAGGAACCGCAGTTAGCTGATTCTACAGCACGAAGTTTGAAGTCTAATAAGTCTTATAGCTGCTTACACCCTTCCATTACCGGTATTATTTCAGTATTACAAGTCTTGTTTAAAGGTGCTTACCTGGCTTAAATTTATTTCTAACCCTGGTTTAAATACAAGGTGTCTTATTTGGTGACGACAACAAAAGACAAGCTAGAATATCTTCCGCCCATACAGACCAAAAAGGAGAAAATAATTGGAATGAAGTGGAAAAAGTGGAAAATGAGGGGAGGCTTAATGTTGTTAAAAAGCGGCACTGATAAGGAAATACAACCGATTTCACTTCTTCGCTTTTTCCCTCCCTTGTTTACTTCTCACCCTAAGGTCGCCCCCCTCATCCAACCAATATTTTTACTTGTTGACTTTCCCCCCTGAAATCCCCACTATTTCCCCTCAATTGCCAGCTCTCCCCCAACTTTTTCGCCTCATTTTCCAGTTCAAACGGTACACCGGTAAAACTAAGATGATTTCAAAGGTACCAACTCATCAGGTAGGTTGATTGTATATAATATTTTACAAGCTTAAAGACTACACTAAAATTGTGAATGGACAAGTGGCTGGTGAAAAGTCATCTTCACAGTGCATTTTCTAGAGACATCCTATAATCCAATTTTTTTCGGTAACTTATTCGGTGTGTTACTCATATTCCTACTATAATTCATCCTGCAAAACAGAAAAAGAAGGATGACAGCCAGTAGTACCCTCAGATGCTGCGGAAATGAAATTTGTTTGTATCGGCCTCATCTTGCATTCCTCTAGTTTTCCGAAAATAAAAAGAGTGTAACAATTTACCAGTTCAGACTATAGTAAGCCGGTTAGCACATACCTTGTGGATCCCTCTGTATCTGAGGCTACCTTCCCCAACGGTTTGGCAGTCTAAGGCTCAATATGTGCAGCGTATTCTCCCCTACAAAGGAATCTCCAAACCCTTGACCTTCAAAAGACACTTCCAGCATATAAAGGCGCTCCTCTGTCTCCAAGGGATAGCACATATGGTAGCCTCCAAACAGTGTGCCTCTCG